GGAAACCTGTAACCATTGACCTTCATAGTATTTGTTTTATGGAAGTCAATGGTTGCAGGGTTTCAGCTTTCTACAAAATATCTTCTGTAACGTTTGAAACCACTTGAGAGTGAATAAACAGTGAGTAAATTAAATTTTTGGGTGAACAATCCCAGGCTAAAAGGGATAGTTAACCCAAAAATTACAGTTAGCTCATTATCGACTCTCCCTTCACTTCTTCATAGTTTTGTGCTTCTTGCTTCTGTTGAACGCAAAAGAAGATATTTAAAAAAAAATGCTCAACCTATAACCGTTGACCTTCATAGTACTGTATCTGTTTTATGTAAATCAATAGTAAAAGGTTTTCAGCTTTAATGTCTTCTTCAGTGTTCATCAGAATTAAGAAATTCTGAAAGGTTTGAAACTATTTAAGAGTGAATAAAATCTTAATTTTTCATAGTTCACCTTTTTGGGTGAACTGTGCCTTTGAGTTAGGTTTAAAGGGATAGTTCATCCAAAAATGAAAGTTTGCTTATTATTTTTGCTCTCACTTGTTTATGAGTTTTTCTTCTGTTGAACACAAAAGAAGATATTTTAAAGAATGTTTATTGCTGGCACCAATTGTTGGAAAATACCATGGAGGTCAGTGAATGCCAACAACCAGCATTTTTCAAAATATCTTCTTTTGTGTGAATAAAGAAATTCATAAAGGTTTGAAACCACTTGAGAGTGAATAAACAGTTATAAATAAAATGTATGGGTAAACTATGACTTTAAGTTAGGTTTAAAGATATTCAACCCCAAAAAAGAAAATTACCTCATCATTTTCTCTCCATTGTGTGGTTTTAGACCTTTATTAGTTTCTTTCTTTTGTTGAACACAAAAGAAGATATTTTAAAGAATGTTTATTGCTGGCACCAATTGTTGAAAAAATACAAAGGAAGTCAGTGGTTGCCAACAACCAGCATTCTTCAAAATATCTTCTTTTGTGTTCATCTGAATAAAGAAATGATAAAAGTTTGAAACCACTTGACTGAATAAACAGTGATAAATGTATTTTTTTGGGTAATCCATCTCTTTAAATAAGGTTTAAAGGGATAGTTATCCCTAAAAGGAAAATTAACTCATCATTTACTCTCCTTCGTGTGGTTTTAAACCTTTAAGGGTTTCTGTTGAACAAAAATCTAAATATTTTAACGAATGCTGATTACTGGCACCTATAGTAGAAACAAAGACTATGAAAGTAAGTGGATACCAACAACCAGCATTCTTCAAAATATCTTCTTTCGTGTTCAACAGAAGAAACTCAAATAGGTTTTGAATAAACGATGGGTTACTAGAAAAAATATTGTAGAAGTACATTTTCATTTTTTGGGTGAACTATTCCTTTACATTTGCAACTCACAACCTCACTGAGGTTGACTGAGGGATTGTGATGAGAGCTGAACGCTACTTTTGCATGGTTTTGTAAAGCAAACAACCGTAAACAAAGATGACAATGATCATGCAGTCGAGAGTAAACAAACAGCATTCCGAACAGACTGCATTCGACTTACCAATACATCAAGGAGAACACATGATAATAAACAGAACAATTAGTGGAGAATACAGGTCATGTCAGTCATTGAACAACAGGGGGGATGCAGGAGCAAACAAAGCTGGAGACACATTAATAATTAATAAGCAGAATCTGCATTCACATAAAGAGGGGCTTTGATTTTAAAGCTGGCTAATCTAGTGACATTTTGAGTGCCCTCTACTTTTGGGATCTCCCATCTGTCTACCTTGGGGGCTCCCTTAGGGGGGTGGGGAATTATATAGTGTTCAAATTAGTGATGCAGTCCTTACATGTGTTCTGGTTCATGATAGAAAACCCCAGGAAAACCATACAAAACATATTTTAGTTGATAATGAATTTCTATCACAGTGAACATTTAAATCCTAATCTAGCCAATGACAAATGTACAGTACATCCCATAATGCAATATCATGTTACAGTAATCCGGTTGGTTGTCCAGGCAACAAAGTGAGTGAGCTGAAACAAGGCCTAATTATCTGATGACTTGTTTTGATGCTCGGTTCCTAAGTGATATGCAATGGTTCTTAAACTTAGCAGGAACACAAAGAGAGTAATTAAAGGGGTCATGAACTGTGAAAACAAGATGTGCTCGTTCTTTTGGCATAATGTCATCCTACTATAAAACTATTAGTAATACTCATTGTCTTTTTTTATTTGGTCTAAAAACAGAATAAATGGCGTATAGGAGTATATGCAAACAGACTTTTAATTTCAGTCAGCCAGCCCCAAGGCTTCTAGTTAATTGTCATCCCATACAAAATCTCTCCGTTTAAGATCCAATTTCTTTAAAAAAAAGCAATCTTCACTGCCTGGCTAAGATACGATATGAAGTGGTATAGAAGACCAAACAAAAAGCACTGCATTAAATTATAGTTTTTCACGCTGTGTCTTTATAAAATATGGAAAATAATTTCACCCCAGTATTTTCAATAGATTTACTGCTCTAACCTGCTGCTGCGTTTAAACTGTCTTTTGTCTCTTTTTATGGTTTAACAAACAAATGGATGCTTAAGACTATTTAACTGAATGTATTTAAATTACATTACAGCATCAATGCTGTAAAAGGAACCTTATGAAATTGTAAATAGTCACATAAAGCTTTCACCGGAATTTCATCATTTGCTGAAAAACACTAGCTATGCATAAAGTCCATTGAAGCCAATCTGATAAAATGACAGGATGTGGATTTTGCTTGTTTATTACATAATAGTGTGGATAAATTTCCCGTCTACAGAAGATCTTCATCTGCCTCTACATCATCAGGCTGCCTCAAAAATATGGTCCTTTATTCAGATATACAGTTGAAGTCAGAATTATTAGCCCCCTTTTGATTTGATTTTTTTTTTTATATTTCCCAAATTATTTTTAACAGAGCAAGGAAATTTTCACAGTATGTCTGATAATATTTTTTCTTCTGGATAAAGTCTTATTTGTTTTTTTTCGGCTAGAATAAAAGCCGTTATTACATTTAAAAAAAAAAAACATTTTAAATGTCATTTTAAGCTGTACAGAAGTGTTTTGAAAAATATTATTTACTGTCATCATGACAAAGATAAAATAAATCCGTTATTAGAAATAAGTTTTTAAAACTATTATGCTATATATATATATATATATATATATATATATATATATATATATATATATATATATATATATATATATATATATATATTTACCACAGATAGGCACAATTTGATGCAATTCGGTGTAGCTAAAATGGGAATGTGTTTTTCAAAAATTTCAAGTTCATGCTTTTTTATGCTTTCAAAATAATCAAAAGTTAACACATCCTACAAAAATGGCTAAAACCCTACATTATGTATGCCAGGCCAGTATTTGGCCTTGTCGCTTTTTTTTTAAACAGTACCTGTAAGGATGTCACAACATGACATTGGCAGCTTGACGTTCATGTGTATGTAGAATTTGCCAAGTGTGTAAGATGTGTCTCCGCTTTTGCTTGTAATGTTAAGTAAATCCACACTTTGCTGATGTAGCATTTGGAAACGCTTGAGCAACATCAACACTACATTGTAAAAAAACATCTGTAAATTAGCCCTTTTTCATATTTTGTGATTTGCGTTTATTTATGCTTTTGAATTGCATTATGGGATCTTTATTACAACAATTTTTAACCTTGAAAATTAAAAAAAAATGACTTTTATGAACATTTTTAATTGTTTGAAGGATGTATTGTCTGGGTTGGTGTTATATTTTACAGTACAAAAACCTTGTAATAAACTGCCAGTACATTTTCTGTTATTTTACCGACTTATTTCTTATACATTAAATTATTTCAAACTACGAAATTGTCCATTAAAAGTTACTATGTTAAACTGTAGAGTTGAATTGTTAACATCAAAAGTTGACAGAGTAGAGATCAAAGTCCCATAATGCAATACACAACTGTAAATAAATGGAAAACACTTGTGAATTAGAAAATTAACAGACATGTTTTAAAGTGTACCATGTACTCCTCCATTGTTGTGTATGTTTGTGATTGCCTTTAATTTACATTTCCCTAAGCATAAAATCATTGTTTGTTTTTGGGTGTTTAAATGGACAAGACAATGGCTGTTTTCAAAGCGTCCCCATTGAAACCATTTTAAGTCCAAAATACGCAGTTGTCAAGAAAAACAAGCAAAACCAACCTCATTCTGAAAAAGTACCGCTATATACATTTCTTAGTCAAATTATGCTAATTATGTCCCAGAAGCTACATTTTTTGCCGTTTTTACCAGAGGTCTCTGTGTACACTTTTTCATATCTCAAAATTATCTTGCGAGTGTCATTCTCGCCTGCTCTTCTCGCGTAAATCCACTTGAGGCCACTGTCGACTGACTGACTAATGCCTCATTCACAGTACAAGCGACCGTTCATTTCAACAGAGAGCGAGCGACTTCCGGCGACCTCCAGCCTAAGTGATCGACAGCGACCGCTGGCGACCAGGTGGGCATGTCGAGCAACACGACATAGTTGAGAATCCTTCAACTTTATGCAAATGAAGAGCAACTTTCTTCAGCGACAGCCAATAGGAGCACCAGTAGAGCTCACGTGATCCTCTCTCAGCTTGCTCAGAGGCCAGTTGTATTTGTACTGTATATACCTACACAGAGCTGCGTTTGCAGCAGGTTGCCACTCAGAGCAACTGGCAGCTACAAAGTCGCTGCTAGTGTGAATGAGGCATGACAGACCCTTCTCTAAACCCAACCAATAGTGTTTTCAAAAGCACTGATTGACCCACCCATTTCCTTCCCTAAACCCAACCGATAGTGTTTTCAAAAGCACAGATTGACCCACCTAACACCTTCCCTAAACCCAACCGATAGTGTTTTTAAAACCAATCCAGAAAAAGTAAAGCCCCCTGATTTTTACTACGTTTTCAGATTTTACCATATTCTCACCCTGTTATTTACTTGTTTATTTTATTTTTCAGCTTTTGTTTTTAATTACCTGCTTTCTGGAACTTTTTTCACCAGACTGTCGTCGAGGTCATCTCCTCTGTATGTCTCAAGTCCACCGACGTACATAGTGAGCCACTGGACATACAGGTAACAGCAAAAAAAAAAAACGGGCACACTGAGATAAGTGGTCAGCTGGTAATCGTGAAAAGGAACAGCTTCCGCCGCGTAGAGTACGTTTTAAGGACGAAATCCAGCCATACGTATTTCCGGCTATGTTATTCGTGATCTCCAGAGATGTATATAGGGCTACATTTTCAGAATGAGCCTATGTTGGGCAAAACACACACTTTTTTATTGTGGTCACTATTGATATGTCTGCTATTACAGATCGCTATATACTAAGTATTTATGTTGTTTTTTTAACCTAAATCAAAGCAGTGCAATAGATCAGTACAAATTAAACCAATATGGCAGTTGATGACCCCTTTAAAATCATCAGTGATCTGAAATCATAACATATCACCAGGGTGATTGAAGTGTTCAGTAAAAAAAGACTAACATAAAACAGGCAAAGCAAGCAAGAAATCAGTCGATATCGTTTTAAAATCAAAGATGCACATTTATCAAAGATTTCTGAATCACAAATTGGCCTTTGTGGCTTTTAAATGTTGCCCAATTTACATAAGCAAGGCTTTAAAGAGGCTTATCGGATACAACTTGTTAAAACCCTTGATAAATGAAATCCACCAGTCTGTGCATCTGATGGGAAGTGAAACATACAGCGCTTCTTGCCAATGGCTCCATGCAAGATAAGAGCATCCATTGGCCAACCAATAGAGCGGTTGTCATGGAAACCTCGCCGTGGAAATGAGGAGAGTGGGTGGAGCTATAGTAAATGCAAACGCTTTGAAATCGCCAGCGAGACTGAATAGATCGAATCTGAACCCTGAAAATGTACTTAAAACAGCCCACTGACCTCTCAGAGAGAAAGAGAGTGAGAGAAAGAGGTGGTGGGGTTATTGAAGATATACAGTGAAGAATAAAACGAGGTGCATCAGATAGAGAGAGAGAGAGAGAGAGAGAGAGAGAGAGAGAAAGGGGGCAGCAATGGAGAGAACAATAAAGGAATGAGAACCTCTTATTAAATAATTTTGCAGCCTTTGTTCTGCTTTCACCCTTTCAGGAAGAGATTAAATGAGAGAAGAAGTGCAATGGTTTTTACTCTTTCGCCTCAGCCAGTTTGTTGTTGATCTCTTTACTTTTCTCCTTGTCCGCCTGCACCGCTCTGCTCTCCGGCTGGTTCTCGGAGCTCTTCTTCTTGGAGCCGCGCACCGACGTCGCCTGCTTCTCCTTGGACTTTTTCAGAGGTTTCCCGGGTGTGGCGGATGTGGAGGAGCTCTTTTTCGGTTTAGAGCGAGGAAGACTGGTTTTCTCCACCTGAATAAGAAATGAAATGGTGTTTAATAGGGATGCTCCGATCGATCGGTTGAAGATCGGTATTGGCCGATAATCACATTTCATGACTCGATTTCATGAACCGATCGCAGGTGTTTGTTTATGAGTTTACAAGCAGAGGAAGACGCGAGTGCAGCCATTGTATTTTTAGTGTTTTGAGCTGCAGTGGCGTGATCGCCCATATCTAGTGTCCCATCCAACCAACCGGAAGCTCTGCGAGTATTCACACATATTCCACATATTCCCACATATTCGTACTGGCTCTGTGAGGGGCATTGTCTTGTATGATATTCTGACGGTGTTATAACCTTAGATATAAATATCATGGTTTCACGGTATCGTAATCACTGCTCTAAAATATGTTTTTTTTTTCAATTTTCTAGGTAAAAAACAAAAAAATTTCCCCATATTAAACACAATACATTTTATTTTAAGAAACATTTAAAATATTTTGGAATAGTAATCATGCACCATAAAAATACAGTACTTTTTAATTTGCTGTAAATTGAAATAGAGTAAAACAAATTAGCACGAAACATGACCAATCACAGAAAGGGATTTTGTTTTTCTGCCTGGAGAAAGAAAACAGATGCAAGCAGCTGGCAGCTACAATGTTTGTGTGAATGCTCCTATGTTTCTAAAAATACTTTATAATCTTGCTTTAATTACTAAATATAAATACAAACAATAAGTAAATTAAACTTAATTTGTGTCTGTGCATCACTTACTGACGTGTGGTTAAAAGGCTAAAAAACTAAATGAAGTAGTTGTTAAAAAAATTAAATAAAAACAAAACGTACACACACCATAGGAACAGGATGACATAAAATTTTGGCGGTTTTAAAACCTTGACTTTTCCAAACTGCGATAAACCTTGAAACTGGTTATCGTTCCATGCCTACTCTGTGATCCCCCAAAATTAGTTCAAATACCTGGAAATCATAGCGATGAGAGTGAATGAGCATAGGAACATGTCATGAGAGGCACAGTGATGGTCAAAGAATTGCATTTGTTATGGTAAATTAATAAAGCAGTAAAGATAGGGACAGATCCCTCCCTCTCTCATTGAGTGATCTGCTGATTTAAATGGGGTTGCAGGTATTTAGGCCTTTTAACATATAATATCTATAAGTTCTGTGTTTTTGATAATATTGCAAGTTAACGTGAGCGTGAGACGGCATGCACCATCCGCCACATAACCAATATAAACTATTATTAATCTCTGGCATAAATTACACCATAGAAATTACATTAAGATGCCTACTGGTTTAAAAATACATAGATTAAAAGAAGATGGCAAAATGAGAACTTTTCATTCATAAACCTTAGCAAAACAACTTGTTAAAATGAAATTAAAAAATGTTAAACCCTGTGAATACATTAAATACAGGAATGGAGAAAAGTCGGTCGTTGTGCTTTTGCCGTGTGCTGTGTGAATACAGACAATCGGATATGAGTCTCTTTTAAAAGATGATGCAAGTAGATCAGCGAAATAATCGGATACAAAATCGGAATTGACCATCAACATCTGCAGTGTACATGCAACCCAAGAAGGATTTTTTTTGAGGGGAGGGGTCCACTTCACCCTTCATATCTCCCACTCTTGAAAGTAAACCCTTTAAAGAACAAGCTTACAATATACTTCCAATGGTTGTCAAAATCATTTTTAAACACACGATTTTCACCCAAAAGCCATACAGTATATTCTAGTGATGAACTGATCAACCAGCCAGAAAGCAACTAGTCAAAACAGTTCAACATTATGAAACAAATAGCCGATGCTGATTCACTAATGCCTAGTTCACACTAAAGGATTTTAAGCCTGATTTGTGCCCGATTTGGAAGTTAACGAGCTCGCCGACAGATCGGGCTGTGATCGGGAAGAAATCTGCGGGTGCACGGCGCTCGCCGCTCTTTATGTGTGAACTACTGAACAACGCATCAACGAGGCTCGCTGACGCGTCGCCGACACCTCGCAGATGGAAATCCAACATTCAGCGTGCTGAATATTCCAGAGCAGTCGGCCGACTCAACCCCACGTGTGGTCAGATGTAGTGACGAGTTGCAGCCAATGAGAGAGCATATCAGCATGAGCCGCGTGCCTGTGTGCTCAGGAGCTCAGCAGAAACATCTGTGATTGGTCAGAATGGGCATCGGTGCACTGGCTTCATTCTGCGTTAGCACAGACATGAGAGTAGGCTATATTAACAGTGGAACTAGAATTCTGTAACTATTAGAATTACCATACTGCTCATTCTGACGGTTCTTATATAAAACGCCAAATTGTCACAACATATTTACATTTTAAGCTATTATTGAGATATTAAAATTAAGCTTTGAATGTCTGGCATCATATTTAATGACACCATTACCCTAAAAATGTAATCTTTTTTTTTTTTTTGTAATACAGCCTATAAATATGTAGTTAAGATACTAAAACACTTAAAGGTCTTGGCTTTCATTTTCACTTTCAAACAGGAGCTATTTAACAGCACAGAATATGCAGTTTTGAAAGATATCTGAAGTAAATTAATGTTTTTGCCATCAGAAAGTTTTGTCTATGTTAGCAGGAAGTTGCCAGGCAAGAAAATGCACACATATTTAAAGTCACAGTGAAAAGTATCAGACATGCATGCAGTCATTTTAACCAATATGGTAATTTAAGGCAGAAATGCTCAGTTCTTTACTGTTTTGTAATAAAAAAATAACAATGTCAGAAAGAAATACACTAATAGTTAGAAAACGGCAGGGTGTTATTAATATGTTAGTTTTATTTCAAAGAGTTATAAAATTACAAAAATTACAAACTCTCTGTGTATCTATCCACTGGAACCTTGCAGATGAGTGATTAATCCGCTGATAGATCAGCTGATTTGACGATGTTTTTAAATGCTTTCTCCAAAGCTTGAAACGCTGTCAGTGATGTCATCAGCACACAAGCAGCCAATAGTGTTCAGCTTTTTCTGACGACTCCTCCCTCAAAATTTCATTGGCTGTGGTTTGGTAGCTTGAATGAGCTGATGGGGAATGAGTTGTTGTCAGATCATGTAGTGTGTGACCCCCCTCTTGTGGATCGTTCACGGAGTGTTGCGTAGTGTGAACACCACAGAGATTAAAAGACACAAAGTCAGGTCATGTAGTGTGAACGGCACAGCGATCTGCTGATGTTTAAAATCCTGTAGTGTGAACTAGGCTTAAGAAAAGACATTCTAAGCCCACGGCCAAAGTTATATGTCAAACTGTTATAAAAGAAAATAGCTGAGGAAAAAAAAGCATTTTCCAGCCACTGAGCACATAAATTGCCGACATCGTAAATTTGCTGAACCTAGTAATTGATTTTTTTTACATTCTGTAACGAGCACACACTTACCAACAAGAATGTAATCACACATCCAAGTCTAGGATGGAATGCAGGCAATCAACCCATTAAAAAAAAACAAACAGAGCCAACATATTGTGTAGTTTTTTTCTCACCTTACTGCTCTCTCTGTAAGGCTCGTGGTACAGTGTGCGTATCCTCCTCCTCTCCAGGGCCTTGTTGTCGTCTGGCTGCTGACTAGACTGGTAGGCCCTGTAGGTGGCGCTGTAACTGGTCTCCAGGTCAGTCTTATCATCGGGAGGCTTATATTGAGACTTGGCCCTGATGAGTTTCACAGGTTTCACGTCTGTGTAGGCTTTGAACTCAGTCCTGTCATGGAGAAACGGATAAGATCACGTTATTGTAGTTTGTGATTAATACCACACATATTGAATTTCAAGGCCACCTCGTGCAATTCAGAAAGGAATATAAAGTGCAACATTGAAATCTTATCCCCAGATTGTACAGTTAAAATCTGAGCTGGTAGATTTGTGGCAAATATTTGGCTATTTACAGTTTATAGACCACATTTAATATATATATATTTATTTTATATACATATATTTATTTTATATACATATATTTATTTTATATACATATATATATATATATATATAAATTATTATTATTATTTTTTGTATTATTATGTACACATTTAATTTTACCATGATATATATATATATATATATATATATATATATATATATATATATATATAAATATATATATAAAAAAAAAATATATATATATATATTTATTTTATATATATATATATATATTTTATATATATATATATATATATATATATATATATATATATATATATAATTCTTTTTTTATTATTATTATGTACACATTTAATTTTACCATGATATATATATATATATATATATATATTGAAAAAAAAAATATATATATATATTTTATATATATATATATATATATATATATATATATATATATATATATATATATATATAATTCTTTTTTTATTATTATTATGTACACATTTAATTTTACCATGATATATATATATATATATATATATATATATATATATATATATATATAATTTTTTTTATTTTATTATCATAACCTTTATTTTACTAGCATCCTGGCTAGTTTATTTTACAAGCATCCTGGCCTAGATAAGGCAGTATAAAGTTCACATGGGTTTAACAAATAACAAACAAACAAATAACAGGTATCATTCATCCATAGAAACACCTATACAATGACAGTTAAAAACTATTCAGAACATCTACAGGCCAATGTTTCAAACTCCAAATCGTTTAAAACCTTTTTAAAAGCATGTAACAAACTCTTTAAACTGCAACTTTGTTTGGGGGTTATTCCATGCAAAAGGTGCTGCGTATTTAAAAGCTTTTTTCCCATTTCAGTATGCATTACTGGTACAAGTTAAAGTTTGGAGATATGAGGGGAGTAAACCCAGAATAGATTTATGAACAGATATGCCAATGCTTGAGCCTATAAGTGGACAAAGCAGAGCATCCTACCCGAGTGTACAACACACGATGATGAGTGAGGGATTTAAGATTTGTTATAAACCTGAGTGGACCATGGTAAACAGTGTCTAATGCAAACTCTCAGAAGATGCATGCAAAACACCTCAGATGTTTTCAGAGAATAATAAATTACTAAAAGAGCAGCAGTTTATTTTGTAGTTTATATGTACATTTTAAAGGTTTTAAAAGTAAGTTCAAATAAAGTAATTAGTAATCCGATTACTTTTTACATGAAGTAATTGGTAATAAAATCAGATTACAATTTCCCAGTAGGAGTCAGTAATTTGTAATCTATTACTAGTTTAAAGTAACTTACCCCACACTGTTCAGTGCTAATGCTGGGTTCACACTAAATGCAGAATTAAGCATTTCTGTGACTTCCGTGCAAGATCAAATAATTCAACTTAAGTGTAATATTTGCATAAGGCAAAAAACATCCCGCTGGTAAACTAGAGCAAGTTATACGATGTAGAGATCTGCGCGGGACTAAATTTTGACACCCGCTCCGGATGGGTTTTAGCCTGAACCCGACCTCTCCCGCTTAAATTCAGCGTTTGTTGTCACGCTGCCCGACCCGCCCCGTTTTCTACCCGCCGCGCCTGTTCACTAGTAAGGGGGGAGAACAAAACCGAAAACCACCCAGCTATACAGAGTCCAGACAGCCTATAACAAGCTGTCTGTATAAACACACACACACACACACACACAAGCACCAAGCAAGTGACGCACACACATAGGCATCACTCTCTGTCTCCTATTCACACACAAACAGCACACAAAGCTTTCTCTCTCATTCGCACACACACACACACACACACACACACACACACACACACACACACACACACTGCAACAAACAAGTTAAACGCAGACTCACGCTTTCTCAATCACACACATACATACACGTGCTCGCTCGCTCAGGAGTCGGGAGTGATGTTGTTAGACCGCCCGCTCCCGTCCAAAATAAAACCAGTTACCGATCGATCCCGCGCTTTATTCGGAAATTTATTCCTGTGACGCAGAAATCTGGTCGGACCTCTAATATAATGCTCAACGTTTGGTGTGAACCCAGCGTAAGAACCTGAATGTGGGGGTGGGACTTTCATTTTAAAGAGGATTTGATTGAATAAACAATACAAGATAAGTCATCAATGTTTTTGCCTTTTTTGTTTTGTTTTTCTGAAAATAAATGCAAATTTTGCATTTGCTTAAAGGTGTGCTATCCACATTAAGAAGTATGCTAGCATAGTAGATAACCGCTAAAATGCATACTAGTCACAGAATGTTGTATTAGTATATTATATGGTCAACAATCATGGTGCAAACAGATTTTGCCGTTTTTATGTTATCAGAGATCACACATATAAAGAGTAATCTTTCTGAATAGAAATAATCTAGACAATAAATAACAATGACTGAATATAGATGAACTATTTTTAAACCGCTACTATATATAGACACTGCAATAAACTGTAGATCTAGACTGATGCGCACACTCGGCAATGCAGAGATTCGTCCCACCATCTGCATCTCAGCAGAGGAGAGTTTTTCCTAAGGCAGTGGCCAATGCTTTAGGATGAGTAATGAGCCTTTATTCACTGACTTGACACAGACAAATGGTATATACTTCACGGGTATGAGCATTGCAGATTACCCAACATGCAACTTATCCGCAGTGCATCTAATACATGTACATCTCAGATAAACTGAAACAATTGACTCATTTATAAACTGGTTTTAACGATTTTGTCAAAAATTGTCATGACCATTTAATATTATGTTATTATAATTATTTCTGAGGACTGCAAAACATCATTTCTAACTTCCAGTAATTATAGCCATTACGCTCTTTCTTTTTTCTTTCTTTGGTTGTGTAATTTTACAGCCTCAGGACGGCAGACTGTATTGATTAGGACGGATGGGACAGGAAAAAGACAGCAATGTCAGACAGGGTGAACCGTTTATCATGCCATTACATCAATTAGCTGCTTTAGCTTGCATGAAAAGGAACCAAATCAATAGCTTTGAGACTAAATCAACCATTCTGCAAGATTATTAGGATTAGGCTATTAAAAAAGAGAATGTTTGTTCTGCTGGAGATGAGATTAGATAAGATTACTGGATCAGACTACTTTACACTCAGAATAAGGAAGGATTTTAAATATAAAGGGCCTGTTATTTTGTGACCACCGAGCTGATGAGCAAAGTCATGGGACAGCATGTGGGGGAACATTAACACCCTTGGAGAAAACGGGGGATGTGAAAATCATGCTCCAGTCCCATGCAGTGCATTTTGGGTTAAATACAAGTTATTTTCTATCAGCAGCTGTTTCTTCAGATTTCGGTAGTTAAATGATCCTGGAGTTGATCATTATTTAACAAATACTGTATTGACAAACACATACTTATACATATATACATATACATACACATATATATATATATATATATATATATATATATATATATATATATATATATATATATATATATATATATATATATATATATATATATATATATATATATATATATATATATATATATATATATATATATATATATATATATATATATATATAATACATATACATATACAGACATTAACACCCTGCTTTCGTTTTAATTATTATTTGGACAGATTAATAACAAGCCTATAACCATGTGCATGTGATCATCCTTTCATTATTACTCATGGTATTCTTCTCTTCACCTGCTTTCTTTTACCTACAGTTATTTTTATTTTTGTTAATATGGTTTAATTAACCTTTTTTACAATAATGTTGCTTTAATATGAGATTAACTCCCCATGTATGTGTAGTTAAACGGTGATCTGGGACCTTTAAGCAGGACAGATTACTGTGCATATTCTAGAACATGACAATAATTCTTTTTTTAAGTGTCATTTAAAAAAAAAAGGTTTTGTTGAATAAAAAGAGCATGTATACAGCGATATTAAGCTCAAGTTGACACATTTAAAATTTGTGGCTAAGAAATAACTATCAATTTGTGGTGTGGTCAGAGATAAATTTGGTTAAACCCTTATTTTGAGACCTGAAAAGTTATGTAAAATAAAAACTAATTGCAATGCTACACATTTGCTCATTCACATTGAGCAAGCTCATACAAAACACAAAGTGAAAAAGTGGAAAGTGAATTAAATGAGGAGGCACGTGGACATAACACAAACTAAATCAACTCAGTTTAGCATGTCAAAGTCAATTTTATGCATATAAAATATATTATCTCAATGACAAAATTGTGGCTAATGAAAATGGTGAGTGGCTAGTAATGTTAGAAATCTACTAGCCACAGTTATTTATTTGTGTGTGTGTGTGTGTGTGTGTGTGTGTGTGTGTGTGTGTGTGTGTGTGTGTGTGTGTGTGTTTTAGCACCAGCCACTGTGGCTAGTAGATTTCTAACATTACTAGCCACTCGCCATTTTCATTATATATGCATGTATGTATGTATGTATGTATGTATGTATGTATGTATATATATATATATATATATATATATATATATATATATATATATATATATATATATATATATATATATATATATATGACATATATATATGACAAAATGCAGCCATACATGTCTCTGGGTACATTATTCGTGATCTCCAAAAATGTATATTGACCTTATTCTGAAATGCGGAAGTGCGCCTGTTTTCGCGATTGTCTTAGAACTTCCGATTCATTCGCCTATGGGAGAAATGACTAGGAGTAATAAACGGCAGAAAATGGTCAAACTACTTGCTCTACAAACAAATGTTTGCATGACTATACAGACCAAGTA